AATGGCTTTATCCCCTTCGTCGAAATTTATTACAGCGGGCTTTATATGCCATTAATATTTGAATTGTTTAATGATTTGGGATATCTATTTTATTACATCGATATTTATTTATTTATTTATTTATTGCACATCCATTAAGTAACAAAAAGGTGTTAGGGTAATTAGTAAAATAGTTCTTTATGGACCCTGTTTATAGGGCATAGTACAAAACAAATCATAAATTCGGAGAGAGCAAGATGTATCACTTAGGTAATTTAATGGGGTACTTGTATATGTAGTTGGTATTTTGAGTGGCTATTTATTTTTATAGGTAACATTTATTAGTTTTAATTTATATATTAATTATGACTAATTTGTTTAATATATTTATAATGTGAGATCATTCTGTGTTATTTATATCTATAATATCCAAGGTATCTCCAAAATATTCTTTTATGTCATAATATGACTTGGTAAGTAACAATTCTTTTAATTTTTTTAGGAAAGTTTTATCGTTTTTTTCGTCTTTTAATATTTGCGGTAGTTTGTTATATATCTTGATGGTCATTACATAGGGACTCGTTGAGTATAATTGTAGTGTAGAAGTGGGTTGCATTAGTCTGTCTTTATGTCGTAAGTTGTATTGTACAGGAATTTCACTGCGCTTTTGATAAAGCCAGGGATTTTTTCGAACAAATTTACATATTTCATATATATATAAACTTGGTAAGGTAAGTATATTTAACTTTTTAAAGTGGGGTTTACAGCTATCTGTTTGATTTATATTAACTAGGATTCTTATAAGCTTTATCTCTGCGATATTTTCCCTGAAATGCATAGTACAGCCGACGCTAGTACGTTTAAAGACTACTATTAAAAATGAGCCTCTGAACAATGAAACGCATCAGCGTGTTCAGCCCTAAGGGAGACAAGCCGTAGCCCGTTGCGAGGCGGACGCTCACCGCTCACGGCTCCAGTGCTCCCAGGAGTATTTAATTCCGACTCGTTCCGATTCCTTTAATGGCCGCCCGCCACTCGAATACTGGCAGCTGTTACCGTCGTCTGCCTTCCATAATATTTTTACTGCGCGCATTGATTTATCTGCCTCGGGATTTGATTGGCGGCGAAACGTTCTTAAAGTTTATATTTTCAACTCAATTTGTTTCGAATCGTTTATTTTGATGGACCTATCTATTGGCGTTGTAAGGATAAGGATGAAAACCCTCTGGATATTCTAATTGGAAACTAGAGCTGAGTAGAGACGTTTTCACAAATAATTGGAAAGATAAAATGACGGAAGGCTGACAACGAGCCGGATAGTAAAGGACCCAAGCTATCTTCATTAACCTCTTTCTTAGGGTCCAGTCATTCAAGTACTGTATATCAGTATACGGTTACCGAGAGGTTCGAAGTGCCCTGAAACATGAACTCCTTAATTGACGTAAGCTTTTAATTGTATAGTGTACTAAGTGTACTAATTTTGACAGTAGTTGATTATAATTCTTTAAAAAAACTTTGTTTATGGACAAAGTTCCACGTTAAGTATGCTTTCAATCTAAAACTTTCATCGTTTAAGATCTCTTGGATTTATATAATAACAAGCGATTCCCTCCATGCCTTCATATTTTTCGTGTAATTAATTATGACAACACTGGCGACTTCCCGAAGCTCGAGCTAAGAACAAACAGGCGTTGAGCAAATTACACCCCGCCTTTCGTGACAACGCCGCCTCCAAATTCAATATTCTTCCACACAAAGCTGAACTTTGAAGTTATTTTCAAACTCCTTGTTTTATTTATCTCGCCAGTTAGCCAACTTGTAACGAGGTGATTTGTAATTTCTGCTGGCACTTCCTCAAGGTGTGTTCTCCGGTGCCGTTTAATTACTATTAAATGGGTCCACGAGGAATATAAAGAGTGACTTTTTGGTATTATTAGTTTAGTTGTGAGAACACCTTCTTGCCACCGCAAGCGAACTGGTGGTTCACCTAATAGTAAGTGTTCAGCCACCGCCGATGGACATTTGCAACACCCGTAGTATTTATTGCCTTGTAATAAAGTGGGCCCCAGCTACCTCACTCACCAGACGAAACGCGGAAAAAAAACATGTCGTTCGTCGATCTTTACAAACAGCTTACTAGATACGGCACTATAAGAGAAACTATTCAGATTCTCGAACCTTAAAGCTGCATTAGTTCCACTGGATCTCGCGTCACGTGAACTTTGTATTAAACATAATGCAACGCAGTTGAGCTTTGACACTACGGCCGCGTGATTTTGTAACCACAGCAACGAACGTTTTTCGATGAATATTTTTAAAAAGGATCCACGTCTCTTATACAAAAAATATTCTTTATGTTTTCCTTATTGCTGAGACAGGATTAAGAATGGGTTTTGGTTAAATTTTATCATCATTGTCAATTGAATGACAACACATGAATATGGTTGCTTAAGCACTATTTTTACTTATTAGGCCTCTTTGTCCGGAGTGGTACCACGGCCTAACAGAAGATCAACGTAAAGCTAACGTGTACTGTGTATTTTGTCTGGTGAGTGTGATAACTGGATACCAAACTCTTAATGATTAGCGACCCAACTGTAGAGAATCTGAAATTATATATAGCATGTTATATAAATTACATATAGCATTAAGTATCCTAAAAAGCAATGGCTGTTTCTAAAGAAATCAGATATCAAACTACAAAGTTATGTATGTATTGTGAAACATGTTTTCAATTGTCGATTCCCAATGTATTTCAGCCCCATTGAATTTAATAAATATTATCGTATTACGGGAGTAGGCGGAGATCACTGAAAATTTCATTACGGTTACGCATTTCTATCCTTAAACATAACCACAAATATCATTTCAAAACTACAAAGGTGAATGTTCTATTATGTTATGCAATTAAAGTCGGCGATATAATAATATCTCATTTGTTTGTTAACCATTTATTATCTGTGTTTCGTCATTTAATCTTTGCAAATGATATTCAGTTGCGAAATATCCATTACCATTATTTGACTTTCATTACATTTCATCGCATTAATTATTTTCATAATAAAGTTGTCCCTCAGGTAAGTGTACTAAAATCAATTATTTTGAGTTGTATTAAAATCAATTATTTACTTTCTGTGTTGTTTTTATTATTAATTTGGTTTTATAAATAAGTCTGAACAAGAAAAGACTAAACATATTAAATCAAAGAATTTGAAGTTATTGATGTGTTAATTTATGTGCCTTCGTACGGGCGTAAGTAATCTAATTTTATTTAATCTCGGTTCGGAATAAAGCGATATAAAATACATACTCTTCGATATTGCATAGCTGATTGCGTATTTTGGTTCTGTGATCCTCGCTGCCACCCTAGTCACGTAAGCGGATATTGAATGCACAGGTGTCGACTCAAAATTGAGACGTTGTATCGGCTGTTGTTGCTGGATGGCACTGTAAAAGTACAGGTGTTCCTACTAAGTACGTGTTCTAAAGCATTTTATATCCTTTCGTTCTAAGGCTGTTGGCAATATACCTATATCTGTTGACCTTATATATCTGTTAATGTCATACATCTCGTAGTGATCATCGAAATAGATTTGTTTCGTCGTTCAAGTTAACTATGAAGTGAAAGAATATCTAGCCATAATACTGAAGTATATTCTATAAACATTTTGTTACTTCAGTATACAAAGCCGCAATGGCAACTTTGAAGAAAATCGTTTTGAAACTTAATCTTTTATAAAATACAACCTTAGATCATACCCTACCTATCTCTCGAGTGCTCACAGTCGTCGTTAAATAACAAGTGCTACTCCTGAAGCTGAAACCAATCCTCTAGAATAAAGTAATAACCGCTAACACAGTTCCAGCGCATTATACTCGTATATCTGAAATAACGACTTTGATGCCACGCCTCCTTTCTATTTTCTTTATATTATGCAATACATGTGTGTGTATATGTATATCTTCTACTTTATATATATAATTCTACTGTACGTGTGTTGTCACTGAACTCCCCCTAATTTGAATTGAATGAATTTTTTGTATGCGTTTGGGTGACGCCCTGGATGGTTTAGATTCACAATTCGTTTTTTTATTTATAAGTTGTTATCGGATTTAAGTCGTATATACAGGACAACGTCGCCAGGTCCACTTTAAAAGAAAGAAAATAAGTCACTTCTGACTCGCGCATTGATTCGAAGATTGTTACTTGTTGAAGATCGTATTGAGTAGGCTCTCGGTTGGAATGACTCTTATTGAACCTCGGCTTTAGGGTTGTCTTCATTGTTACGCTCATGAAACAAAATGATAGGAAATATGGATTTTAATCCACTGACACAATTTTATGAATTATAATGGAAAAAAAAAGAATTTCTAAATAAATCTATTGCCGCAGTCTTCGTCTTCATCATCAATCATAGTTTTCTCGGAATTAAAGTCTGCATCTATAAAGCGTGCGCATCTAATATCAATAATTATTTAAATGTTGCCAAAAATTGATGAAAAATTGATGTTAACATTTTTAGGGACAACGTAAAAATAAATATTTTCAAAAATGTTGATTTATACCCATCACTAAAATTTGGAAATGTGGTGTCGATAACAATTTGTCGATAACAATTGTTGTGGATCTTTGTAACAATAATATTTATTTTGATTCGATTGCAGTGATTTAGGCGTCCGAAGGTTTGCCCGTAAGGTTTATTTTTTTATTTTAATAATAGTAAATCTATCGACGTACTATTAATAGGAAAAATTGTTTTGAAATCTTATCTTTAGTACTTAGATAGTGACTCGGTGTCGCGGTAGCGATTTGGGGTCTATTTCGCCGCGGGACTATTGTTTCGACCCGCAGATAATTTTCTGGGTGTTTATTCCTCATTAGGATTGACCCCAGCCAGGAGACTGGTACTTTGATGCTTGCGAAATGTACCAATCGATCAAGGGCGATTATTAATTTGACACTGTGATGAACTTGGGAGACAGTGGCACTATACTACAGGAATTTGTTAACAACTAGAGAAATGAAGAGAAGACGAGGGGATTTGTCCGTGCGAGGAGTTGAGAAACGTGGAAGCGACACGCCCAACCGTAAGCGACTAACGTCAGCGGTAATTTCTGACCGAAACCCATTCTTGTCTTACAGCACGGCATCGTACCTGTAACAGACTCTAGTGATCGGATGTCCATGGGGAGTGTCTTACCGTCCGGAGAATCTATGGTGCGTGCGTTTGATTACCAGTTGGTGCAAAAGTTTTGGGGATTTTTGTTCTTTTTTTGTGTTGAATAAAATACAGACAAAACAGCTACTTGTGAAATCTGCAAATTAGCAGTTTACTTTACTCAGTGCATTTTAAAAGCATATGGCATTACCTACGGAGATGTAGAATTTGTCTGTGGTATATTAAAAGTCAATATTTCACTTGACTTCCCAACGAGGCTAGAAACATTGGGCACTATAATACGCGATAATATACATGTGAATGTTATCTTAGCGACTATGACAGAATTTATCGATACCAAAAAGTCGCAATAATTTCGAAATCGACCTTATTACCCGGATAAACTCGCCGACGAAGCGTCGTTCAAAATAATTATGCCGACACACTGGAGACGGCTGAATACACGCGATTGTAGTAAGGAGGTTAAAATTAATGTCGCACCGTATCCGATAACACGGTTGGCAATTTCGGATACGCAGGGACTGGAGAGGCGTTGATTTAGAGGCTACTAGTGCTATAATAGTAAATCTAAAGGCTTACAACTGTTCCAACGGACTAGCACCTAATTACCTCCCCCTGAGTTTCGGCGAACACTACCTTTATCACACCTTACTTATCTAGACAATTCCGCATCTTCCCTTACTTACTGTTGTTAATGACCGTGTAACTATTATTCTATAATTAAATTAAATAGGTGATAACCTAAGCACTGACTGAAACTAACATCACCACTGCAGTAGATACTTCAAATTTCAATAAGCATTTTCTGGAGATGGAACAAAGAATTAAATGTGGTCGCATTAGCGGTCTAAAGCGTTAGACATCCGATTAAACCGAGCTAGTTCCCGAGTCAGTATTTATATTTTTCAAATAAAAATAAATTGGCAATCGAGCAGGCGCTTTTCCTGCTCATAAGTGACTGCCGTCGCTCATGGTCAGCAATATCCGGTCTTCGCTGTTGCCCATTCGTGCAACAGCGAAGACCGGCTTGGTCCTACCACAATTAAAAGTTTATCGTATTTAGGTTAAAGTTTATCGCGCGAATTGTGAAATAGTTCTGCGCTATCTAATAGTAGACTTCAACTTTTGGAGCAAATCACATCGCGGCTTACATACCTAATCGTATATCAATAATTTATATTCAAATATCTTTATTCAATATAGACGTATTACACTTATTGATTGTCAAAAAACAGTACTACCGGTTCGGGAAAAAAGCCACTGACCTCAGAAGAACCGGCGAAAGAAACTCAGCGGGAAAATATAGTATGACTTAATAGTATTGATGTGTGAATTGTAATCGGCATCTTTTATTTAGTTCCTCGCTTTTCGTACAGGATGCTGATTTGTTCAACATATATGCTTAAAATAATATATTTTCATTTGTGTTTGCGTGTCTTACATGAGTCAGTAGGTCAACGTAATTTTAGCGCTTGCAGATTATTGCCGACATTTAAAAAGTAAATATGATTATTTCATTAACAATGATCGAATACGGGTCAATAATTGAGTGTTTCGAATTATAAACAATAACACGTTTGCGTTTTGAATAAAGATAATCGCGTGCACTTTCCGAAACAGCACAATGATTTGAAACAGGGCAAACGAGTGCACGTCTCACGTATCTCTAGCATCGCTTACGCTCTGTGTGTACAGCCTAGCTGGCAGATCAAATCGACCAGTTGAACCGTTCAGTCGCGTCTCGAATAGGAAAACAAAACTACTACGAATTCGTCGCTGTAAAAACCTTCAATGGCCCAAGTTCAACATTAAAAAGTCTAAAGTCACTTTCTCGACTGGTCGTCGTGAACAGTGTTCGTAATTATTTCAGAATACGACCGTCTTTTTTTTCGCGGTAATTTCGTTTCGTAACCGTTATACAGCGGAAAATCGACTCAGTACTCGGCAATCGGCGGTGGTGTGCAATACAGTAAAAAGTGTACGTCAAGATTGCTATGCGAAAGTTTCTACGCTTGCTCGTGGCCAGCGTTGCCATTGCGGCGACTGTGCTGCTGGTTAGCCGGTTGGATCGCGATGCGGGGACTCCCCGCTTGCGTGGCGCCGAGAGAGTGATCAGAGCCCTACGCTCCCATGTGAAACCACCCGAGAATACGGTGAACGGCACGGATGCGAGTGCTGCGTCGAATGAGCGTTTGCAAATCGTCGAGGTAAAGTAAAGCAAAAGGAGCCTATATAATTATGTCCCACTGGGCAAAGGCCTCCTCTGTGCAAACGGTGGTAGGGCATTTTCCACCACGCACCCCAATGTAGATTGGCGGGGTTCACATATCTTCGAAATATTTTTTTAGTTGATATTATTTCGAAAATATGCAGGTTTCCTCACGATGTTTTACTTCACCGCTGATCACATAACTGGCGGCACCGGGGATCGAACTCAGATTGCTCAAGTATATTGAATTAAAAACGTGTGTGAATTATAATTGTATGTATTTTACCGACACACTTATTAACTGTATTGACGCTATGTTAATGGCGGAATAATAGTGATACTGTATAAGAATGCCATCATTATCATTTATGTTGATTAAATACAAACAACATGCCTATACAGTAAGGTGGAAAACTAAATTTTAAACGTTGAAACAATTGTATATTTGTTTTTGGTTCAGTAAGGTTAAAATGGTGACTCCGGTTCCTACTGTGTTTGCACATTTGCTAACACTTGTGTCCTTAACGTAAATTTATTTTTCTCTGTTGTGGATTCCTTGCGATCTTTCTTAGGCCGAATCCCAAATGTATTCGACACAAAACCATAATAATTTAAACCTAAAAAAATTACCTTTGAAGTAACTTCAATTTATTTTTGTTTAATGCCTTTTAATGTTGCACGGCGATTCCGATTGTATATACAAGAATTGCTCGTTTAAAGCTATTAGATAATATATTTGTTCGCTAAGTGTCGGAAGAGGCATGGAAGCATTTGAATGTTTCCTACCGATACTTAACTCAATTCACCGTTCTATTGTTTTTTTTTTTCTCTATAAACGTACTTACTCTTACTTACTACGTACTTCTTTAGCACAGTATTAAAACGAATGTCCATCTTGATGAGAAAGTAGCAAGGCGGTTCACCTGATGTTAAGTGATAGCCGCCGCCCATGGACATTTGCAACTCCTGTAGGGTTGCAGATGCGTTGCCACCTAATGAATAAAGTGGGCCCCGGCTACTTCACTCACCAGACGAAACGCAGAAGTAAAACACTTCCACTTCACGCCGGTTTTCTGTGAGGTCGTGGTATTTCCCCGGACGGACCTGCCCATTCGTGCAACAGCCGAAACTGTTGCTTGGCCCTGCCACAGTTTATGGCACCATTATTTAGATTTTGTTATTTTTATTTAAAAACTTTTTGCGGCGGACTTAACACTATTAAGTCTTCTCTACCAGTCAACCGACAAATAAGTAGAGAGTATAAGGAGGTGCGAAGGAGCCACATGAGAAGTAGTGAAAAATATGAATTTATATAAAATATTACATATAAACATACACGTATACTAATATTTATATAATAGTATATATAAATTACATATACATATACATATATATACGTACACCAAGAAGAGTAAAGTTGAATTAGCTCGAGCTTTTTTTACGCTACATCTGCTCGCAACTTTCAATTAATTCCCTCACTAAACAACGAAAAAACCTACTAAGGTGACTAGTCAAAGCAGGGCTTTTAAGGACTAAGTTTAGTATTCCACAACACCGAAACTCGTAACTATCACAATTTAGCAAGTCACCCGCGTACTCTAGTGGAAGTTGTCGCAGCCTAATAATTAGTGGCCCGTAGGAAAGTCCGATATCCTTTCATTAGTGCACCACCCCACCGAGCGCTGGAGATTAAAACTTCAGCCCGAGGCGGCCGACTCGTAGCGAGTCTTTGGCTAGACAGCTTTTTAATATGCCTTTGAGATGTGACGCGGCCGGAGCGCTTTTGCATACACGGAAACTATGATTCAACGGGAAAACGATTTTCCACCACAGCTCATTTACTTTAACCATTGATATTATTGTTGAACAATTTTTAAATTTGTTCGCATAAATGTAGTATTAATACCTGGAGGACCGAGCTTTACTCGTTTTTTTTTTTTTGGTAAATGATGTATATAATTTAAATAAAAAAAATAAAAAATAAAGAAAATGATCTGGTATAGAAAAAAAAGGAAAAAAAATGTGTGTAAATGATCGTTTTACGAATGTTTTATATATATATATATATACAGCGTGTCGTTACCATCGCGACAATAAATGAACACACATATAGGGGATAACTTTTTAAAGTTGTATTAAACATTTAAATTCTTTTAACATCATTATTTACAGAGTTATTAAATTTTCCAAAACAATGAATTTTAGAACGCCCTTACCTATAAAAGCGTAACGTAAAGTTCATTTGTAAAGGTCACAAAGCATATGAATGGGTTGAATGAATTTAACGGTGGTAGGGCCACGCAGCAGCCTCGGCTGTTGCACGAATGGGCAGGCCCGTCCGGGTAAGTACCACGACCTCACAGAAGACCAGCGTAAAGTGGAAGTATGACAAATACTTTCGCGTTTCGTCTGGTGAGTGAGGTAGCCGGAGCCCAATTTTCAAAAGGTTGTCAACGCATCTGTAACCCTCGGGTGTGGCAGATGTCCATGGGCGGCGGTATTCACTTAACATCAGGTGAACCGTGTGCTCGTTTGACAACTTTTCGCATAAAATAAAAAATAAAATAAAAATTTAAAAGAGACAAAACATACTGTTAGAAGGAGAGGCTTGTAATGCGACGCTGTGGCGCGAGTTGTATAGGATGTTACAAATTTTGTTTCTTTTTAAGTTAATTAGTTTGTTTGAAAAATATTTTTTTTAATTATGGATATTCTTTAACGTTAATATTTTTTTATGATTATTGGCAAGTAGCGTTAGACGTGTGTTCATTTATTGTCGCGATGGTAACGACACGCTGTATATATATTCGTTATTATGTTGCCGTTTTAAACTAGCTAGCAAATAAATCTGAGATCAAAGTAGATCGAGTGTTTAGTATACGCCCAGAAGGAGGACGTGTATATACGGGTGTCCTTTTAGTTTAAAATGTTAGAAGTCTGTAATTTACGAAACGTGATCGTTCGCAGATGATGCGGCACGCTTGGAACAACTACAAGCTGTACGCGTGGGGCAAGAACGAGCTGAAGCCGATCTCGAAGCGGGCGCACCTGTCCAGCGTGTTCGGGGCGGGCGACCTGGGCGCCACCATTGTCGACGGCCTGGACACCTTGTATCTGATGGGGCTGATGGACGAGTTCCGCGAGGGCCGCGACTGGGTGGCCGAGCACTTGCACTTCCGCGATATCGTGAGTATAGAAAACGTAATTATCTCGCGAAATTCCCAGTTAGATTCTCGACGCGAGTGGTACCGACCGCAAGGAGAATGGGGTCCTTATCAATAATTTGAGTATATATAATGTATAATACCTTTTTACGTGGGAAGGTGGCATCGAGCTGGTGCACACCAGATGTTGAGTGATCCGTCGCCCATGGACATTTGCAACACCCGTAGAGAGTTGCAGATGCGTTGCCACCTTTTAATAAAGTGGGCCCCGGCTAACTCACTCGCCAGATGAAACGCAGAAATGTAATACCACTTCACGCCGATCTTGTGTGAGGCCGTGATATTTACCCGGACGGTCGTACCCATTCGTGCAGCAGCCAAGCCCTACCATAGCTATCGCGTTCTTTATCAATAAATTGGATACTTCATATCCATTTTTGTACTCTTCATTAGGGGGCCTTTAATAAGGTTTGCGATCTCATTGCCGGAAAAACAAGCACAGAACATTACTTTTTCTCTTATATACACAATTTGTAAAATTTTGCTCATTTTCGTACCAGGCTCTTCGGTATTGTGAAACGTATTTTTATTGAATTAAACGTAATGCTCATTAAACGCATTTCTTCACTTCACTCTCTTTTGTAAAAGTTGTAACCTTAGCATGACGTTAACGAGATGGTTGGTATCAGTTTGCACACCCAGGTTATCGTATTTAATACTTACTTGTCATCAATTAATCGAACGTCTTATAATATTGTTGAAGATATTCTGCCATTCATTGTTTGCGACTCGTAAAGAATACGTTTCGTTTATAGATATCTAGAAATCAGAAAAACAATTGCTTATCGCATCCATGTCTTAAATCCAATTACGCTGTTGCTACACGTGCTTCAATTACGCACGCATTTAATAGCGACTTTGCCTTATCTCGACTAAAATATAACGTATTCAATTACACTCAAAGCGTCGAGTGGGGCGCGACACTGTAAATGGAACTAATGTTACATCAGAATTCATATAACTTGAAAGAACAGCAAACTGATGTATCGTAAATGTTGCATATTATTTGTTAAGATGTATAACTTTAACAGTAAAGAAATATAACTTACTGCCTTTATGCTGCGGTCATTTAATTAATAGAATTTCTTTGCAATAATAAGGCATGCGTTTTTCCAAGAAACAGTGAAAGTTATTGATTTTTAAACCGTGAACTTAAAGAAGTATATCTTCGATATTATAGGTTCATTTAATGACACTGTTTTTACATCATTAATTTCACTGACGAATTTATATATATAAAAACTACAGCAACCATTATCATTAACACCGCCTTGTGGTGCTTATTACAGAAATAAGCAGTAAATATTTCTAAGTTCAAAACTGTATTGCCTTGTTTATTCTAATAATAATTTCGTATAATCGTAATAATCTTGTTTCAAACTATAAACCTTTAAATAATAATAATATACAATAATTCATTAATATCTTTAATTTCTTTGAAATTTCGATTATATTAATAATTTGAAAAATTATTAATTAAATATGTAAAAAAAGGAAAGGAATTTAAAGATTTCGAATTTAGACCAAGAAAAAAACTTAAAAGTGATCAGCCCCAATACATCATCATCATCATCGTCATCAGCCGGAACACCTCCACTGTTAAACGCTGTCCCTTAGAATGTCATAATGAACAACACTTTGCCATGTGCATCCTACCAGATGCCCGCGGCTCTTACGATGTCGTCTGTTGTCTGCCAATACAACGTCTTCCCGCTTGTGTGGTCGCCACTTGTGAATTTTTATACCCCATTGATCATCAGTTCTTTTATACCCAATTGGTCATTAGTTCTTTTATACCCAATTGGTCATTAGTTCTTTTGTTCCACATTGGTCACCAGTTCTTTTGTAACTCATTGGTCATCAGTTCTTTTATACAGATTTGATGTAGCCTGCCCATTGCCATATTATTTTAATATTATTTATAATATTAAAGACATATATTATAATGTTTGTTAAACTCCGGTTAAGCTAACTTTATACTGGACACTAAAATGCATTTGCGACACCGTTTCCAGGACTCGGACCTGTCCGTCTTCGAGACCACGATCAGGTTCGTGGGCGGTCTGCTCTCGTGCTACGCGCTCACCGGTGACACCGTGTTCAGGGACAAGGCGGCCGAGGTGGCGGACGCTCTTCTGCCTGCCTTCGATACCCCCACCGGCCTGCCCTTCTCCTTGATCAACCCCTCCACCAAGGTATGTAGGTTTTTTTTATTTATTTAAACTTTAACTTTATGCACACTAGCACAAAGGCGGTAATAATACCAGCATTTTGTGCCAGTCAACCTAAGGGCACCAGTAATAACCCTTTGGGTACTGAACCCCAAAAATCAAGTGCACAATACTAACATGGTTACTATGAAGCCGTTTTTTGTTATTTTATATTCGCGATTATTATTCCGCACCACTACCGTAACTACGCAAAGCGTACAAACAGTCAGTGGCTTACTTGTTCGCAACAAAATGCCCAACACCAATTTCCACCAATTAGTACGTCAGTGTTTCAGTGGATAAGACTGTATATCGTAACTTCGTTACGGGCGTTTCGTCGTTCGGAAACAACTCTAATTAGTTGGTACTTGAGTGGTCAGCTTTCCGCAGCAACGTTGTGGCACGGGCACTTTGTACGGGCGCAGTGTATTTCGAAGTCGGCGATAGGTCGCTAATTGAACACCCGACCGGTATGATAACGAAGCGTCCATTCCAGACTGTATTCATTATCAGTGGTAGGCGCTTTTGTCGTGCCGTATCGCACTGTGGGAACGGTTGTTGAGTGCTGGGACATTGATGTTCGATATTCAGATTAGTTTACATAATCAATTTACGTGTATTTTGGTCATTTTTATATTTAACCAGTTATGAACATTTCTTCGTTTAATATTTATCCTAACATTTTAACAATATTATAGAGTATAAATGTGGTGGTTTTTGAGATTGCTACGAGTTTAGTACAATGCTAAATCGAACAAAGAAATTTTTAATCTTTGAGACAGAGAAAATACTGAAACTACTTTGAGATATAGAAATTGTGAAAAACATGTTATAATATAGCTATATGCATTAGGTTTTATTCACATCGGATATAAGGACTTGAAGAATTTCCCCATTTGCACTATTGCAGGACCTTTCACCATATTTATTTTTACACGCTTATCACTCTATACAGTTAGAATAAAAATTTTAAGTCAAATTCAAACTAGACAATAATTTAAAGATCCTAATTGAATTGAGTTGTGATCATAATAAATTTGATATTAACGAAAAAGTGCCTGAACGCGATAAACCAATAAATTATTCAGGAAATGATATAAACACTTCTCTTTTTCCTACTTCGTGCGTCAAAGCGACTCATTACCGTTAACGGTACCACAATTCTTTGTGAAAACGATGCGAAACACTCCGTTCCGTTATTTGATTAGGTCGGAAGTTCCGCGTGTCCAGTGTCTTCAGTCACGATACTGTCGAAAGGGAAATTGTGATACGTCGGACTACGACCTTCTAGAGGATTTTTATGTTGTCCGTGTAAAAGCAACGCAGTGGCTTTTCATACTGCGCGAGTGGACAGACCTAATAAAAAAGGCTTGAAGCATCTCTTAAGTTCGTCCGAGTATATACGTATAAAAGGGACTACACAGCGCAGTGATCGTAAAGTATACATACGACTTGGCTTGTTTTTTTTTTATTTTATTGTTAATCTACTTTATTTTATGAAAATAAATTTTTTTCGACAATTTATCAATGAAAGTTACATTTAAATAAATAGTACCTGGAGAACCTATATATATATACAAGAATTGCTCGTTTAAAGGTATAAAATAAATGTATCAAAATAATATTAATATACACTTATATTATTTACACATAGTATTACCATTTAACATTTTTTATTATAATTTTCTGCATGCGCAATTAGCATGTAGTTGACGCCGAACCTGAGGTCTTTCCCCATCAAAAAATCACCAACGCTCTCAATATGAATCCACTGAAAGAAGCGGCTTCGTTTCAGGCGAGCCGCCAGTACCACTGGGCCGGGCCGAACAGCATCCTCTCGGAAATAGGCACCCTGCACCTGGAGTTCACCTACCTCAGCGACGTGACCGGCAAGGATGGTACGTCTGATCAGTAACTCATCTGTTTCTATCACTCTTTGTTATCCTTCTTACACACTGTCAAATGTTATGCTATCATCCCGTGTGCAGGCGATTATCCATGTGAAATTTATGTATATAACGCCCGTGAGAATCTTGTCGATTTCTTTCTCTTTTCGAACGTTTATTTACACTTTATTTAAAGGTGGCAACACATTTCCAACTCTACGGGTGTTGCAAAAGTCCATGGGCGACGGTTATCACCTAACATCGGGTGAACCGCCAGCTCGTTTACACATAAATTAAAAATTAAATCATAATTAATTACGTTTAATCTGATTATTTAATATATAATCTAATACTTTTCACGATTGTCTAACGAAATTATCCGATTAATAAACTTTCACAGTGTACAAGAAGAAAGTGGACCGGATCCGCGAAGTTCTGAACACCATCGAGAAACCCGGGGACCTTTATCCCAACTTCATCAACCCGCGAACAGGACAGTGGGGGCAGAGTGAGTATGGAATAAACTTAAACTTTTCCAAAGGATCCGAATTGATGATCGAATGACATTCGATACATCTTAATCGTTTCCAAATCGCTTTTTACAATCGCCTATGAGATTTTCTCACAAATCGAAGAATCTGAGTGACTGCAAATAACTTGCATGAACCGAGACTTAACAATTTTTCTATGTGACAGACGCCAATGTCTGTGTAGAAACGTTCATACTTTTTCATTTCTATATTCATTGTCTTAAAGGCTAGATTACTCCATTTAATAATTAAAAAAGATATCTAATTAAGGATTACCAGCATATTGAGCTGGGACATCTTCACCCGATTTAATGCCGTTATTATTAAAATACCACGTTAATGAGTAATAAGTTTTTTCTGGGCTAGCGCGCTTACCATCCATGGCTTCGTCGCCACTTATATAATTGCCCACGATTTCTCTGGGATGTCATTTTGGGTTGCCTTATCATAGTACCACCCTTGGGATATCTCCTTTCCAACAAAAAAAAATCATCAAAATCGGTTCATAAATGACTAAGTTATCTCCGAACACACATAAAAAATATAAAAAAATATATACGGTCGAATTGAGAAATCCTCCCTTTCTTGAAGTCTGTTAAAAAATTCTCCCTTTTTTGGAGTCGGTTAAAAAAACGTTCATATGGGGATAGCCGCCCGGTCGCTGGCATCCGAAAGAAAAAAACGACTTCGAATAGAGATCGGTCCGATGACGTCACCGTCCGCAGGGCACATGTCGCTCGGCGCGCTCGGGGACTCGTTCTACGAGTACCTGCTGAAGGCGTGGCTCGTCTCCGGCAAGGGGGACGCGCAGGCGCGCGAGATGTTCGACGCGGCGATGCACGCGGCGCTCGACAAGATGCTGCGCGTCTCGCCCAACGGGCTCACCTATCTCGCCGAGCTCAAGTACGGCCGGATACTGGACGACAAGATGGACCACCTCTCCTGCTTCGCCGGTGAGTGGGAGCACAATGCCAGCTCGTCGGTTCCGACTGGATGTGCGGGGTGGATTCCCGCGGTGGCGGAAAACTTTTCGTCCATTTTTTTTTCTACAATCTTTAATGTTTCATGTAAGATTAGCGCTGTTTAAAAATATTTTTGAATTAATTTTTAATTTTCATGTTCATCGTTGAATGTTCTTTGTGAGGATTTTATGCTGTAACGGATGTACACTATATGAAAATACCGACATAGTGAAAGTAAAGTAAGGCGTAGGCGATGTCAGGTGTTTTAAGTGGTTGAAGTTTTAAAGAGAGACCACATCCAATTCTCAGGTGTTACTTTTAATAGAACGTTAAGACAGATGAGTAAGTTTTAAAAGAAGTTCATAAAAATTTCGGCAGCCGGTGCCAACAGATCAAAAGAAATGAGAGAAGAGATTAATGTAGATCTCCTTTTTACGTATCTAGAAAGTAAACCTATAGCCCCTACCAAATACGCTTGTCTTTTCTTGTTATATATGTTATATACATAGTATCGTAGGTTCGTGTAAGTCTGATCTTCCGGGAAAGTCACACGTTCGCAGTGAGTCACATCAAAATGATCACAGCCACAACATAATACTCTACTATTTGTGTTATTCAACGCTAAGAAGCGACTAGCGCAGATATAAGACAGAGGAACTACGCTCCACGCTCGCGGTGGTATTTCATCGGAATCTCTACGGCCTTGGTTTTCACTCGCCGATAATTCCGCTTTCAGGTGGTATGTTCGCTTTGGCGTCCACGACGCTGGACAACGCCGTGTCCGAGCGGTACATGGACGTGGCGCGGCGGCTCACGAACACATGCCACGAGAGCTACGTGCGCTCAGAGACCAAGCTGGGCCCGGAGGCCTTCAAGTGAGCCGACAAACACACACACACACACACACACACACACACACACACACACACACACACACACACACACACACACACACACACACACACACACACACACACAGGCGCGCGCGAGCACAATGACTATTCCTAGTGATGGGTGTGCTTCGCCGCACATTCCTCCACGACGATACATGACATTCGCACACACGTACACGCACATACGCGCGCGCACAAACACACACCAACACACACACACAACAGCTGTTCCATGGGTGTGCTTCGTACCGCACATACCGCACGACGATACAACACCTTCGCACACACACACGCACATACGCGCGCGCACAAACACACACCAACACACACACACAACAGCTGTTCCTAGTGATGGGTGTGCTTCGCCGCACATCCCTCCACGACGATACATGACATTCGCACACACGTACACGCACATACGCGCGCGCACAAACACACACCAACACACACACACAACAGCTGTTCCTAGTGATGGGTGTGCTTCGCCGCACATCCCTCCACGACGTTACAAGTCCTTCGCACATACCCGTGCGCACACACAAACATACCAGCTGTTCCTAGTGATAGGTGTGCTTCGACGCACACCCTTCGACAATACAAAACACTAGCACACACGTACGCGCACGTGCGCACACACTCAAACAGCTGTTGCCAGTGATAGGTGCACTTCGTTTGACGCACAACTAACATTTCTACGTAATGGAAGTGTTTCGACTTATAAGTGTCATATTATACGCATAATGTCTGTAGTGAAGGCGTCTTCTCTAGTTGGCACTTCTTCAGGGTCCATAAATCCGTGGAACATGGTAATCTGTAATCTCTGTACCACCGAGGGTGGTAGGCGTGAATATTCATTGTATGTATGCGCTCACTATAGCAAAGTTCGTTACTCGCAATGTATCTGACGAAGTAAATTCAGCAAACACAATATAAAACATGAAACAAGTTGAGATAACGAAAAGGTTAGTATTAACAGCGGATCATTCAGTTTTCTCTTACCTCGATTGTGTACTTCATGTACCCGAATTAATAAAAATTCAATATTATTTGTTAGCAGGTCATCAGCTTTTCATAACATAGCTGTTGAGAGATGCAACCTGAGTTCATATGAAAAATGTATTCTTTTTATTTTGAAGCATCAGCTTTCAAATAAAAAAAAAGAATCATCAAAATCGGATCACTCAGACGAAAGTTCTCGAGACAACAAACATTTAAAAAAATACAGTCGAATAGAGAAGAACCTCCTTCTTTCTTGAAGTCGGTTAAAAATAGATCACGACCGATTCTCAGACCTATAAATTATACGTATAGAATTCCATACGAATCGATCGAGCCGTTTCGGGGGAGTAAGTCGCTTATTGTCTGTTCTCGAAGGTTCTCCGGCGCCGTGGAGGCGCGCGCCCAGAAGAGCAACGAGAAGGTGTACCTGCTGCGGCCGGAGACCTTCGAGAGCTACTTCATCATGTGGCGGCTGACCAAGGAGCAGAAGTACCGCGACTGGGGCTGGGAAGCGGTGCAGGTGAGTAGCTTACGCTGGAACATCAATAGCGAACTTGCAGGAGCTAAGCAGCCATGATAGCTCAGTTTCCGGGCGCTCGCTTTTAATTAAATGAAAGTAAATCGATGTATCGGGTTTTAACACAACATTACTAATACCAAACCAAGCAAAGCTTGAACTTTGCGTACATAACTGATGAACAAACATACAACTTTTGTAAACATGTCTTATATTATAGATATACTAACATACATATATAACTTCCTCTTTAATCGCTCTATCTAGTAAAAAAGATCTAAACATACATAGGGACGGACAGACAGCAGGACGACTTTGTTTTATATAGAATATAGTGATAAACACCGAGACACTAGAAAAATACTATATTCATCACACATATATTTCCAGTAGTGGGGTTGGAACCCACACTCTACGTCAATTGGATCGTCAAAAATATTCGAGCACCCTGAGTTCAATTCGCGGTGCCGACACCGATGAAATTGTCAATTGCAATTTCAAGTGCTGACATCATGCGCTAGGCGGTGAAGAAAACATCGCGAGGAAAACTGCATATTTTCTAAATACAACAAAATAAATATTATGAAAATATGTGAAGTTCGCCAATCCACATCGGGGTGGCGACTATGCCTTAATACCCTCTGTACGGTGTAGGCCTTGGCCCAGCTGTGGGATTTTTATAGGCTGTTACTTTACTTTACTTTTAAATTAAATAAAACTATATTACAATTATGTCCATGATCGCTGTGTTAATTTTAAACTATAGTTTACATTTGTGAACACATATAGTTATGAAATGGCATAGGAAAACATTAGAAAAGACTTTTACAATGGTTGTGGTGCGGGTTGAGTAACGATATGATAAACCGCAGGCCCTGGAGAAACATTGCCGAGTGCAGGGCGGCTACACGGGCTTGGTCAATGTCTACCACAAGAAGCCCCAGGGTGATGATGTGCAGCAGAGCTTCTTCCTCGCCGAGACGCTCAAGGTAAACGAATGCTGTATTCCGCATGCATATATATCTCGTAAATTCCACCCCACGACACTTATAAAATGGTTCTCTGAAATCCGTAATGAAAACTTGTATCAAATTATTTTTTTTATATCAAGAAACGAATTTATGTATGCCTGCACACTCAACTGAAACTAATTAATGCGAGTAGTTTTATCTTAACATACAAATTAATGTTAGTATAAAACGATGCGAATTAATTTCCCAATAGACGCTTCCAATCAATGGTTGTAAAGCATCTCTGCTTAAATAATTCACAGTCCACGACAAAAACGTCTGCGGTGCTTAAATTTGTTCACAGCCTAATCGATACAATAAGCGATTATTTGCAGTGCTTCCACTACTACGACTATTACAGGCTATTATTACGTTTCAGTACCTTTACCTGCTGTTCTCGGACGACTCGCTGTTGCCCCTGGACGAGTGGGTGTTCAACACGGAGGCGCACCCCTTCCCCGTCAAGGGCAAAAACCCCCTGTACCGGGCCGCCGAGAAGCCAGCGGAAACCAAAGAGAACCGCGTCTAAACCAACCCGAGTCTGAAACTTAAATGCGCCGCTGAAGTTCGTCGAAGTGACTCGCAATACAGAGTAAAAGGAGTCGGCGAGGGCCGCTGGAGTATTGCCGTCTCGCTCGCACCGCAGCTCAAATCGGTCTCCATCCCGCTCCTGCTACACGTGCAGTCGAAGACAACTTCGTCACTCAGTTTCTTGGACTTAATAATTTATCTCTTGCTCTCGACTGTTCATGGACGAAGCCGACCTGACGGGCATTTAAGTTTTGCGCGAGTGTACAATCAATGTGGAGACGGCCAACGCCATCTGTCGCCTCAACGCGGATAGATTGGGACTGTTCATCTAAGTCGAAGAGAAATACAGAATAATAGGAGTCCGTGGAGTATTGCCCTCTCGCTCGCGCCGCAGTCCAAATCGCCCTCCGTCCCGCTCCCGCTATACGCCGGTGTGCAGTCGCAAACAAATTCGTTACCCGGTTTCGTGGACTGCGTGGTTGCCCTCGACTGTACAAGCGCAAAGCCGACTTGGGGCGCATTTAAGTTTTACACGAGTGTACTTGAAGTATATGTGTGAAGTTTGTAATCATTGTGAAGACTGTCTACGCCATCTGTCGCTTCAGTGCGGCATTTCGAAACTGCCCTGTAAATACGGATCGGCTAGGACTGTTAATGGTGTTGCCAGCAACGTGAAAATCGCGAATGAAATAGTCCGCAAGTTGCCAGTTTAGCTACGGTTGAAGTGTAAAATATAATATCATCACAATTAAATTTGCCATTTCGCATTTGGTTTGGTGTTTTCGTTTTATATTGTTAAAACATCATCGGTGTTGAGACCGCTGAAAATAGGCTAGTGCTTTTTTCCGGGCTGCGCTGTGATCGCTGTGATCGTTTCTCTGAGTAGGAAGAAACAAATCATGTTTGTATATGAGAATATAATTGTTGTTGCTGTGAATTCATCGTAATCCATGTGTTTAGTTCTTTAAATTCTTCCGATCTGTAACGATCGACGCGGGCATTATAAAATATTTGATGCATGTATGAAATTCAACAAAATCTGTTCATTATTCTTAATCAATTTTAACGGAATCTCTGTATGTGTCAGTCCTGAATATTTTAATTATATTAAATTACAGGTGCCGGATTAGATATAATGTGTGGAATTATAAATAATAGTCAATGAATATGAAATAAGTGATTAAATGCACTAAATGTCTACAACAATTACTTTAGGTCGCCATTTAAACCATAAATATTAGATTCCGTAATGCAAATACTTCTTACATCACGGAACTTGTAAGTTTAGGTTATTTTAAAAAAAACCTTCGCAAAAATTTCAATTGAAGGAATTCTCGTAGCGTGAAAAATGCCATTCTAGATTGATTTCTTAGAGAAAGTCGATTCAGACTGCAAACATTTATTCCTCACACGGTATCATGTATTATTTTCACATTAAACAGTAATATTTATGGTACAAAACGGAGACAAAGATATAAGTTGGCAAGACCACCCAAAGACGTCAATTAGCTGCCAATTAACACTTAATTCGTCATGATGCGAAGTTAAATTTCAAAAACTTATTAATACAGACTCCTCTTGACAAAAATGAATAAATAGAACAATACATTAAGGCTAATCGGCGTCTTTGAATGCGACAATGATGCTTAATTATTTGAAACTAATGATGTAATGCTTAAAAATTCTTGCGTTTCGATTAAAAATTATGTTGCTATTTACAATAAATTCGAAACTCGGAAGAGCTTAATGAATGAGAGCAAATAAACATCATTAGATTCTTTTCTCAGACTACAATAAACAACATGGAGAAATTAATCCCATTATATTCTAAGAAGTTTCAGATTATGCTACTAAGTTCGTTTTGTCCTTGTCAACATATCACTTTTTTATTTCCAATTAAAATTAAATTTTTGATTGGGAACTCCCTAAACTGTACTGGATCAGTAAAAAGATGTATAATTTAACTGCTTACACCTACTTCTTCAGTAGGCTCATGTAGTTAAATTATTGATACTAAGGTGTGTAGATAGAAGCATTTTAATATTGCGGCGAAATGTAATAATAAAGTCTTTAAATTTTATTTGCGCATTCAAAGTAATGTTAATGTCGGAGTCAATTAACGTTAATAGGTACACTTAACACTTCAACGTTAAGAAATGGTTCAAAATTAAGTTCATCTATTTTTAACGAAACATGCTATAAACGAATCAGCTTGGAGACTTTTTACAGTAGATACACTACTGTAAAAAGTCTCCAAGCTGATTCGGTTAGCTGATAAATAAATAAATAAAAACTTTTTGTTTGTTGACGTTATTACGTTGGCTATGAATTTTTTCAACGGTAATGATAATTCTTTTTGATATTATCGCTAAATCCTCATCTCTAACCTGATTTGTATTCCTCCATTTATGACTTTTCTCCATTCCTCTTTTCTTCTCATAATACTTATATGGGACTGATAAGAGAGTGCTAGGCATTCGGCAAGTAGCGCAAACCGGTTTATTCCCTTTTTTAGTAACCCTTTGTATTGCACTACTACACTACAAATACAAAAAATGTCCCTAAAATAACTTAACCTTTTTTTTATGTGAATTTTTCAGCAGGATGTTCACCTGATGTTAAGTGAATACCGCCGCCCATAGACATCTACAGCCAATGCCTTGCAGATGCGTTGACAACCTTAAAAATACTTCCACTTCACGCCAGTCTTCTGTGAGGCCGTGGTACTTTTCCGGACAAGCCTGTCTATTCGTGCAACAAGCACAGGCTGTTCCGTGGCCCTACCACTTAAACAGCGTCTATACACACTTTGATTTTCACCTTTTTATTTCTCTTAATTCTTTGCATTTCAATTTAATCATAACATTTGTGCATATCAGTTGTATTGGCAAACCCAGTTTTTCCTTGTAATAAATAGTTTTTTTTTCTTATAACTTGGTATGTTTTACTGAGCTTATTTTTATTAGAAAGAAAAGTGATTTGAAGATAAATTGTTTTTTTTAATCAAAAAGGTGTTTTTAAACGTGATGTATAAAATACTAAGAGGTTGAATGTCTGCATATAATATTAAGGAGAATTTTAGCGTAATTCAGAAAGGAGAGGCGTTTCTTATAACATAATATAAAATATAACATTTATAACATACATTTGAAATAATCCATTTCAAAAGTATTTCTAGTAAACCTAGTAACGTCCCTTGTTTCTTTTCTAGTAAAAACTAAAGCTTTGGGCCTTAAGGTGATTTAGGCACAAATATTTTATTCTTAGCCATGTAGAACCTAACATTTTATATGATTATATAAATATAATTATGTTATTCATTTTGTTAATAAAAATCGATAAATTATAATGTAATTAGCTTAAATTTATTGTAATGTTTAATTAATTAACATTTTACTTAATGTAACGAATTCCGTAGATATTAGAAAATGTGTTTATTTATTTAATTGCGGGAAATCATAAATAATGTGATGTTAATATTCCTTATAAGATCTCGTATTTCCTAAAAAAAAAAATCCAAATTCATTATTACAATTCTGTCCTTCTTGTATCAAACATATCCAAGATTTTAATAATAGAGTGAACTCGTTTAGAAAACATAAATGTAATGAATAAAAATCCTAATCTATAATATAGAACCATTTTATATTCTTGTTTTTAATAATCCTATTTAAGGATGCTGATGTTTTTAAAGAAATTTTCTACATGTTTTAAATCATATAAAACTTTGATTACGAATTTTATTTCTGTTTCTTTACAACTGTACTAATAAAGAAATGGTTAAATATTTGTATTATGATGCATTGAAAATAAATATATTAAATTTTATTTGTGATTCAAAATAATGTTCAAATACTGTTTTTAAATATTTACTGCACCAGTTATACAAAGCATTTAAGATTAATCGTTTCATAGAAACATTGATGTGAGATGAAAGCAAGCAAAATAATTTTAGTACTATAGTAATCATCAATATAGAGACTAGTTGAAATGTAGGAAAATTGCGTGTGTATATTGTGTATATATAACCATAGAACCTGTAAAATTAGGAAATAGTTACTCAATGTGTAGGAATTAGGTTCTTTTAAAATAACGTGTGAGCGTGTATGTTCGTGTAATCATAGTTACGGCAGCTCCATTGCTTTTTACGTATCGAACTGTGACCTAATGTCTATTTTTTTTGTACATAGTATTTCCATGACTAGAAAGCATAATTTATTAAAATAGTTAAGAATATCCCGCTGAAATGTTTGGTCAAGCAATGAATAAAAATTTTTTTTTTTATTGATGATTCTCAGCAATTGCTAAGGTTTTGGCTCAGGATTTATTAATATACAAGACAATTTTAGTGGAATCATTGATAGTTTTATTACAAGACTACAAATAGATTTATTTTTTAACAAATGGCAAATAAAAAGGGGTATTTCAATTTATAATGGTTTAATATTTGGTTATTTTTTAATACATCAACTTCCCAATGTCATAATTAATGAATTATATGCGTATAATATTAATACTACTTTTATTTAGTAATTTTCTACATTGAAAAATATCTATGGCTAAGCGCTAACCATAAATATATCCAACCTAATTACGTTTGAACCAAATGTATGTTCAGTAATAACAGCCGCAAACTAAAGGGGATTGTTGAACGCTCAACCGAAACAGAAATATCGAGTTGTCATTTAATTAATGGTTAGGTATTGGTAAAACTGCGCTTGATCATTCTGATTATGCGAAGCCACTAAGAAAAATTACAATAACGTGAAACCAAGCCTAACTATTAGCAGTACCTCTTTGCTTGTTACATTGCGTATTTATGAAGTTATAGCCACTAAATGAGTAATGTAAAATATTTGTTTAAAAATAAAACATGTTTACAAATCCGAGGTTGTTTTAATTACGCGACCTAAGTTTTGGGCCACTAACCCTGATGCACGGCTAAGATTACCACCTATCACCTTTTGGGATTTAGAGAAATGCGTTTAAGATATA